CTTTGCTGAATATTACTAAATGTGATTTGAGAAGGCATTCTATTAAACATACGTGTAACTACTTACTATTTAACTACATTATGGTTATAAAGTGTTCTTGGTACATTTAATGATAACAATCTTCTAGTAAAACATACAGCTGTTGTCATTTTATTTCCTTTTTAAGACCTAAACTGTAACAATTCTTAGAAAAACTTAAAACTAACCTTTCTTCTAATGAAACTTGTTTTCTGTTGCTTATCTATGATCTGTTATGCGTATAGATAGTTAGGCAGAACCATAGAAAAATACATAACACACGTACAGGATAGACGAATTTAGATGTCTTCATAGAAAATATGAATACGACTCGAAATAAAATTGATCACTAAACTTATTACCTTATTTGACGGCACATTCAAAATATCTGGACCTTCTGTTTATACAATAAAGTTCATTTCTTAAAACTACATTAATTTCCGTTATTTCAGAATTTGAAAAACCAGTTTTACTTTCTTAAAGCACTTTCTTTTTATAATAAAATAAGATGCCGTAGCATAGTTTTCAGAGAGACAACTTGAATGGTATATTATTCGCTGGGTGTATTTTTTAATATAGCTCGTTTTCTAATTTTGAAAAGAATGGAGACTGAATTAAATTAAAAAATTAGACTGCGAGTCTGTAGTGAATTTTTTATTTTAATTTTCTAATTCCTAGTTTTACCATGAAATAGGCCAACCTATACAACGAATATGTATTAAAAATTAATAAGTTTATTGTCAAATAACTTTAAACAGTTAATAGCAACAACTTATTTCGCATCCCTTTTAATCTAAAAATTGGCTGCATTTAGATAACTATTTTATATTTAAGTTTTGTATGAGGGGGAAGAGTTTTAAGTTTTCTGTAAAAATTAGGTACGCAAAATTTAATCAATGAATTCAAATGTAATTTTTATTATTGTCGCTTACGAATAACCTGTAAATATCGCTTTAATATTTAGGTAAACTAAAACTAAACTAAAATAACAAAAATTGCGAAAGAAACGAATCTGTTCAAATTATAAAATCCTATGTACAAATTCCTTCTGTGTGGCTATGAGCCGAAAGCAGATTTTAGAATTCAATTTCATATAAAAAAATAAATTATGAGTGCTATTAACACAGGACAAAGTAGTATTACGTAAATGAAAGTTAGTATCAGCAATTTCTTACCCTGAAGTGTACAATGTGTTGCATACCTATTTACAAATAATTCCTTTAAATTTAATTTTTAACACAAAGAAAGTGATTAAACAAATTGTTCACAAAAGTGAATTTCGACCATTCGAAGCAATGGTGCTAACAGTTTCGAGCTCACCTCACAGTGACTGATAGGGAGGAAGAACTAGCGTATAAGAATACAAATTCTAAAATCACGGTCTTCTAAATACATATACACAATAAAAGTCACCTTTTCTTATAAGCGATGCATTAACATATTGAATTACAATATTTGCATGGTTATAAAAATCGCAATAAACTGTAATTTATTGTTAGTTACATCGTTACATTTCTGACGTTCGACATGTGGAAACAATCATTCCATGTTGTAAGTAGTAAAACTTATTAACGAGTTCAAAACAAATAGCTACATTTAGTACGATGTAGGTAATAAAAACGTTACCGATAAAGAAATGCAATTAACAATTAGCAATACATACTTATTAATATCAAATAAAAAATAGTTATAATCAATGTTCCCGAAAAATGTTTTCTACCCTAACATCTTTAATCACAAGAGTATACCATTGTTTTCTGTTAGTTAAATACTTAAAAATGTAGTAGTTTATATCATAATAAAAGAATAACGTTAAGCGTTATTTTTTTAATTAGGATAATGAATAACGTTATTTACTTCTGTAGGAAGGGAGATTATTTTTACTTTTGGATATTAAAAACAAATTTGCTTATCGAATTTTCCATGTAGGCACTTTTCCGGCAGGAAATAATTCCGTACGAAAACTTTTCTGCGTGAATTTTAAAATAGGGGTAGGATGTACGTATCTTAACCTAACAGTTGAAAAAAATTCAGAATCAAACAAACGAAACGAAAAAAGTTGCCAATTCAAACATGTAAAATCGATAAAAAATTAGGGAAAATTTCCTTTCATTCTACACTCAAAAATCGTGAAAAATCATTACATTTCGGGTTCTCAAACGAGTTAGATCCCTCTTTCCTATTTGTCATCCTGCTTAGCTGCTTATTAGGAGACAGTATTCCAAAAATTATAAGACAGCACTTTAAAATATAACAATTGCAAACNAAAATTAATTTTTAATCCATAACAGTTGATATCAAAAATCAATTTTTAATTCAAAACAGTTGATATCACAGTTCCAATATGATATCGTTTTAATATTAAAATTTACGATGAGATTGTAAATTCCAATAAGTGTCTGAATTCAGTCTGCATTAATACGTACCCTAAAAATGCTTTTCATTATGCGAATAGAAGAGAGATACTTTATGCAAACCATTTTCTCATAAAATATAAATAGAGCAGATCTTAAGACAATTGGTTTGGTTCAGAAAAAATCTCTTTCTACACTATACCGGTTTGCAATGTTTTTTAACACAAATTTTAATGTGACTAACAGTACCTACAATTTCAATAAAAAAGGCACACTTCAATTGCTGGTTTGTTACATATGGATTGTAGCTGCTGTGTATCGAGCTTCCCCCCTTCTCCACCGCCATTGACTAGGACGATACTATTCAAAACATAAATTTGTTTTAATAAACTTTATGATGTGATATCCCTGTAGAAAGTGACATGTACATGGATAACCGAACTACATTTTAAATAATGCATTTCATTCAAATTCGACTGGTTTTTATATTCTTTTCCCAACAAATTTTAAGCAAATACAAAACCCCACTGAATGCCCTCGAAGCTAGATCAAATCTGGAGAAACCCGGAAGGACAGGACTCGAAACTAGTAGGATGTGACATGAATGACTTTCAATCAGTAAATTCGTTAATTATAACAGAAAAACATTTCTACTTTTTTGTTTTGTAACTTTTAACTATTAAGTTATTGAAACTCACCCTGATAAGCATTTGTCCGCTAGTTGTGTGTGGGTTACGATAAGCATAAAGAATCCAAACTCCTAGACCACCGGAGAACGCTATCATGCAAATGATCGTCATGATGCCGGAGAGACCGATGTTTACCGAACCATCCAAGGCTTCACTCCGGGAGGCGTGTACGAAGGAGACGTCTCGGTCGTGTAGTGTGTCTTCGTAAACTTCAGCAGCACTACTGCTACTACCTGATTGACAGAGAGACTCGTTGACGATTTGAACCTTGTCGCATCCCATAGTTAACCATGTCTGCCTACTTCTGTCATAACCGTTCGAACATTTGTTCATTTTGGGGCACCAAGAGCACTATAAAAATAAAACTCCCACTTTATCTGCCACTTACTTGTGTCGATATTCTAAACTTTTTAAGCATTTACGCATTTAATGAAATTATCTATTAGCAAAAGTGTAATGGTAAAAAATTGCAGTCTGGTAGAGAGATTAAAAGGGCTTAAACCATATGTAGTTTGGGTTATGGGCCCAGCCATGCCACAAATAGAAGCTGCGAAATAATCTTTTTTATCGAAAGTCACTGAAAATAAGAATCATGAGTCCATTGCAAGGTCACTCATTTTGCAACAGTTTAACCCCTCGAAGTTGTTACAGTAATTCGGCTGTGATGAGCATTGTAATATGATACGGTTGGTGAAAAATTACAAACTACAAAGCCACCTTCATTTGAGAATATCGAAGACAAAATAACATATTACAATTGTATTGAAAATTATAATCGATTAAAGCAGTAATTTTTTAATTCGTTTGGTTCGCTAATCCTTTTCAAAGTTAAAAATATTTAATGGCCTCGACCCTATTTGTCTTCACAGCAGTTTCAATATTAGTAAGACGATTACGCTATTTAGTTTTTATGTTAACTATTGCCGAAAACGCTATTTTTCATAAATAAGTAGATAGATTAATTGATTGACCTATGGGAAATGCATTAATATCTAAAAAATGCTTTCATTTTATGCTAATCTAAAAGCTCTTTTTAATGAAATCTTATAATAAGATTTTCGTCACTCATATATTTCTTATCAGCAAAAGCATGAAAACCTCGAATTCACCCATAAACGCACTAACTTAACTAACTATTATTTATTTTATGCCTACGGTTCCAAAAAATTTTCGTAAATATTTATATATAGTGTAGGTCAAAAGCAGTAAATCAGAATAATTATTATGTTATTAACAAAACTGCATAATTTCCATTTTTTCCTTTTATCGTATAAACAGGAAAGTTCATGAAAACATATGACTATAAACATTTACTGTAATTATAATATTAACTGATACCCCACTGACCTTTCAGGATCATAAAAAATTTATGAATGGAATACGTTATGTGACAGTATGAATAAACTTATTTAGAAGATGTCTCAAATGTAATTTATCATATACACCTAATCGTACTATAGCATTTAAGAAAAAATGAATTACCTTAAAACTTGCTAGGCTTTCCGATAAGCAGCTTACGCAGTCTTTGCTTGTAGGGCAAGTAGGTAAGGCAGTTAAGTGAATTACGGTCCAGTTCTTGATATCTTCTTTTTTAAAACTGACCTTGTGGTATTCATAAATAGTTTTCCGTCGAACCACTAAAAAATAAAGTTAAAAATTGAAAAAATGTCCAACTTTTTAATTAACATAAATAAAATGATACATTCGTCAGTGTATGCGCATCAAGCAAAAACTACTGGATAGATTTTAGTCAAATTATTTTAGTTTTATTCCTTGGATGTTTGATATTATAATATTATGAAATTAGAACAATAATACTTTAAAATAATAATAATCTTATATCAGTTTTAAATATTTGTACAGAAAAATATTGGAAAATATCTTTGCATTAAATAACTTACTGAATAGCGTTCTATCTCGCACATAAGCATCACTGATACCAACTTTAACTGGATGTTTCTCATCGCGAATATTTTCTACCAATAAAGGAACGTTTTTATATACAAATATAATGTCTCCATTGTTCACAAGAGTTACTTGGAAAGTGAATTGTCCTCCTTCAGTATTGTCTTGTAAATACACTTTTTCCCATTCTACAGTTAATGCCGTACCTAAAACAAAGTACAACTTCAGGCGTTTACTTTAAAATACTTTGTTAATTTTACCATTATCTAAGTATTTAACGTGACTGTCATTGTGTACACTTGTGTCGAAATTAGCCATCAAAGGAGCCACATATTGAGTAGCAGCCAACCATGAGTGTATATCTACACCAGTATATAGAAAACCACCTGTTGCTATCGTGATATTCCTTACAGGATGACCGTAATATGGGAATTCAAAGGACAACCTTATAGTCTATGAACAGAAAATAACTGCTAATTAGTTTAATAAATTGTAAGTTGTTGTATTTCGACAAGACTAACTAACCCTGTTAAGTTCAGGAGAATCCTGAAGGCAAGGCAAATACAAAAAAAATTGTTAGTATGTATATGACAGTTTCTTCTATTTTTATGAAAGAAATATTAGTCTTCAAAAGTTTATAAAATTGTAAGGAATCATTTTTATACAGACTAAACCATTTAAGTAAAAAAATTAGGCGATTGTACTTAATTAATAATGTAGAACTATTGCATTTTATCTAGAAGAATATATAGCATAAAAACGCACCGATGCTCTTCTATATGAGTTAGATAGAAGCTGATGTACTTTCACATCACTTCTGTTGGTCATGTCCACCCAATATTGTCTCGCATATTCTTCACCCACTGTAAGTGCACTATTGTAGTAAATATGAGTATCCTGAAAAATATGCTGTGTAGAAATATTCAAACTGATACTCAATTATTATATTACAGTTTTAGTACTGGTAATGTTGTGCTTGTTAAGAAAGGTGTCGTTGTAGCTGATGGTATCATCAGGAAATAATAAATCATCTTTGTCAGTTATAGAGAAATTTCCTTTTAGAAAATGATCATGATCAACCACATCAATGTTAGTTTTCTCTGGAGGAGTTTTTATTGGCGCTTCAGTGATTTTCGACGTCATCGATATTTGCGGTTTGACTGTAGTGGTTGTAATGTTCCACCAAATTCCAGTGCCATTTTCACCAAAATTCCTTATAGTTTTCACTTCTTTAGGTGGAGGAGGAAGAGGTTTCTTATTGTCTATGTTTTGATCGATCCCCTAAAGTATAAAGTTATATATATATTCTATACATAAAAAAGGGAGTAGGCATCACAATATGATGCTAATACAGTAGAACCTCGATAAGATAAAGCTCAAGGGACTTAGTAAACTCTTCAGCTTATTCCTTTAGTATAGGTCCACTAACACTAATGTTTTTACATATTTCTACACTGTCTAAACCATGTCAACAAGCATTTTTCTTTCTTCCGATTCAAACCACTTTTCACTGCTTACTGAAGTGCGATGCCCAAATTATTCGTTTTTATTTTAAGTAATAGAGGTTTTGGACTCCGAGGAGAAGGGAACACAAAATTTTATGAATATACAGAGGTTATTACGTTATCGAGGTTTAAGTTATCAAGGTTCTACTGTAGTATGTTTTTTAGTTGAATTTTAAGGATTCTCACAAAAAATAGCTTTAATAGATCTAAAAGAAACATTGATAATTTATCGTGTTTGGATTGCACTTAATCAACTGTAAAAACAAAACATAATGACAAAAATTTATAATATAACGACACTATTTTTAAATGATCAATATGGAATTATTCGCAATTTCATGGAAAAATGAAAATTGCAACTTTACTTAACTACTCACTTTTATATTCTATCCTAAACAATGCCAAAAAGGGAAATAAATGTATTTCAGTTTAGGTCAAAAATCGTGAAAAAATCGTATAAAAACAGGAGAAAATGTTGAACATGCTAAACCAGTAAAGTGAAATTTTCAAATTTCTTTCAAGTTGAAATAGTACTTACGTTTTCAGTAATATTGTTAACACTAGAGATGGTTGATGTAATTGGTGGTTGTACGTTACTATGATTGTTTGTATCACCGATAGAAGTTAAAACTTCTGGGAAAACTCTCTTTTGTATGATGTGTGAATGTTCATAAACTGAAACAGAAACCAGAATAATTGATATTTTGCATAAACAATTGAATTTACTTTAAAGTGTTAATAAATCATATTACTAAACTCTTGCTTTTACACATAAATACTTTTTGATACTAAAAACAATTACTCGTACATATTTAGCATTTAACAAGAACAGCGAATAACATATTCTTATTCTGTCCTAGAAAATGGAAAACTTAGACGTTGAAGTGGAAAATAGAGTTTTAAGTACCTAGATACATAAAATATACCGAAAACTCGTTGGCATAAAATAGTGAAATCCACAACGCGTTGTTTGTACATGTAATACTTAATGTATTAATTACCTACACACAATCTAAACAATGATACTCTATTTGACAGGCTAAAAATGTGGAGTTACCCTTACATTTTAATCACAATTTCTGGTTTTGGGTCAAGCAATACCCATTGTGCTGACGTATGGAGAGATGGATAAAATCGGAAAGAATATATAAGGGTTTCTCATTAACTATTTTACTTCTTAGATCGTAGTGTTTGTTTTGAAAAATTTTTGTACCACTACTAAAGTTGCTTGTTTTGTATCTATTTAAGAAAATCTGTAAACATTACGATTTAGCAATAATTAATTTCCCCTGATGAGCCAATGCATGGCGAAACATATGTTGCAAGTAAATAAATAATTTAAGTTGTATTCTTTTGTTGATTTTACAGATTTTCATCAGGTTAAGCTCGAAACCATTCAATTCATTTTTCAACAGGATTGCATTGATCCTTAAAATCTTAAAAATGCATATTATATTTACCTTGTATTTTCACCGTACAGATAGTAAAAATTTCACAAAATTTAAATTAATTATCAAATTGTAAAAAATGATTCTAATCTCGTCAAATAACCAACGATGTGTTCTATATTTGAAATTTCTTTATTGTAAAAGCATAAAAGCGACGTTTCGACTGTCTATTTCAGTCATTTTCAAGCTACAAAATTTAAAATTACAATAGTAAGTTTCCATTATTCAATCACAACATTTTAACAAAAGTAATAAAACAAAAAATTATACCTCGAATTTCTATCATTGCTTGCATCTAATGTCGATTAGTATCACAATTGGTTTTAACAAGGGTTTCCATATTAACAAACTTTGAAAATAAATTTATCACAGTCAGTGTTTGGCAGTGTTTACAGTCAAACTATCGATATGTCAAGAGGCAAGGTTTATAAAGCGCTGGATGTCTCACGCAAGTAATGGTAAATACACATTATTCAAATTATCAGTGTCAGTTTGCGCATTAATACAATTTTTGTTTTTCTTAATATGTATCATTTATGAAATTAATCTTTTTTTCTCATTAGGTTCTTTTTCTAAAATTTTAACCTGGTCCCATTTGAAATTGTGATTATTGTTTATTCTATGTTCAGTGAATATTGTATGACGTTCCGGTTTTTGTGAAATGTTTGTTATATGTTCTTTGATTCTGGTTTTTAATCTTCTATAAGTTTGACCTATATATACACTATTGCAATTAGTATCTGCACAATCAATTTGATAAATTACGTGTGTCTGGTGTTCTCTGACCGTTTTGTCTTTGCCATTAACTATAACGTTGTTTAGTTTGTTATGTAACGAGTTTACAACATTAAAATCTAGATTTTTTAACGTTCTGGAAATTTTGATAGTTGATGTGTTGATGTGTGGAACAATTACCATCGGTTTTTTCTCGCGTATGTTTGATACCGTAGCGTTGTTCAAGTTATTATTAAGGGATTTAATTCTTCTACCGATATGTTTGTTGACAAATTTCTTTGGGTAACTGTTAGCTGACAAAATATCTCTGACTTTTTGAATGTTTGTTTTATTTAAGGCTTTTCAGACAATTTAATTGCTTTATCAACGAGATTGTAGACCATTGCTGCTTTTTGGTGAGTTGGATAGAAGGAATTATAGTTTAGAACCCAGCCCGAAAACGTTGGTTTTTGATACCAATTGGTTAATAGTTTGCCGTCTTTTCTC